AATGAATAGTCTATTAATTAACATGAACGTTTTAAAAAATAAAAGGCTTAAGATCTAGTTCCACAATTCAATGTCTCTTAAACTCTTCTAACTTCTGTGATATTTCCATAGCCTAACGTAGTTACTAGCGGCAAGTAGCTTTTCTAATTTCTATATTCCCGTAGCCTGACGCAGCCACTGGCGATTACGGAACCAGACGAACTGATACGTCGTCATTATATTTTTATGATTGTATCGTAACTTCTCAATCTCGTGCGAAATAACGGTACATGAGTAAACAATATCCCCTTTGTTTGTTTTTTAATAAATTAAGTATTATCATTTTGGCCTACAACAACATAAAAATCCTTACCTTAAAGAATTGGAAAATATTTGTTATCACAAAATACAACTAAACGCTTCACGTGCTGGTATGGCTGGCTTGGTCACGTGAAGCACAACGACTATCTTCAAGGTCAGTTGTGTATATAATCAAGCTTTTGGACTTACTTGACAAAGGTCGTATGCAGGGTTGCCATTTGGTACTTTTCAAGACCAAAATTGGGCAAATTTCGCACTGAAGCAAAAATTTGGTATTAATCTGGTCTTAACCTTGAATTTCTGAGACTAAATACATGAAAATACATTATATTGGACCTTACATGACAATACATTATACGGCCCTTATTAGTTGTTTTTTTTTGTGTGTGTACAACTAAGCTATACTTTTGACATCATCAGTCACATACTCTGTCATCTCTTTTCGCACTCCATATCACGGTCGCGCATGCGTACAGTATACCGTTGCCAGAGCAACGTTGCTTGTGAGTGACCAAACATATCAACTAGCGCTGTGTAAAGTTAAGTTTGATGTGCAACTCGACAGCGTATAGGCCTTCTCCAGCTCACATTATTACGTTAAATATACTAAGAAAAAATTGAAAATGCCGAAGTGGAAAGATTACGAGGCTGCAAGAAAGTATCATCGCGAGTGGAAAAGAGAGTACCCTTGGCTGAGTATGAGTACTGATGGCAATGAGCAGGCATATTGTAAAGTATGTAAGAAAAATGGCGTCCCAGAAAGGCCACCTTAAAGACACACATTAAGACAAAAGAACATAAAATTAGAAGTACCATTCTTTCATCGTGCAGTACTATTAATTTTTCAAAGACAACATCAAAAGCTAATAAGGGACTTAAAAATGTGAAATAGAACTCGCGGTTGCGTTGTGTTGTCACTGCTCTGTTAGTGGCATTGATCACATCGGTGATGTCATCAAGAAGCATGGTAAAAGAAGTTGCCTCGTAAACCTTCGATTTCACCGAACTAAGTGTTCAATGCTCATTCAAAACGTGATTGCTCCTTGTTTAGAAAACCATTTGGACGGACAGACTAGTATGTCTGTACGCCGGTGCTTTTTGTTTTGTTTTTTCTGTGTGCAATAAAGACACAACGCTAAGAATGTTTGTTTGGAATTTCGCACAAAGCTACTTGAGTGCTATCTGCGCTAGTCGTTCCTAATTTAGCAGTGATAAACTAGAGGGAAAACAACTAATCAACACTACCCACTGCCAACTCTTGGGCTACAGCTTTACCAACAAATAGTGGGATTGACCACTACATTATAATACGCCAATGGATGAAACGGTGAGCATGTTCTGTGATGGGGATTCGAACCCGCAGATTGCGAGTCGAGTGTCATAACCACTAGACTAAAAATGAAACGACTATATATATATATATATATCATTTTTAAAACAATAGAATAATTAAAACAAATAGCCAAAACCCAGTTCACTGTACCAATTTTGACTCTTAAAAACGTCAAGATTTAAACTTCATTATCATTAAGACAACCGTACCAAAAATAAAAATAAACCTCCAGTGACCTAACCTTTACAACTGTAGACCAGTACGTTATTATTACAGTCAAAAGCACCAAAATTAGCAATAAATGTAAAATATTCATTAGGAGCTTCTAGTCGGTTAAAATATGAGTTACCTTCATAGAATAAAAGGTTTAGAATTTCAACAATTTTGGAAAGTATTATTTGAATATAAACTTTAAACTTTGAAAAGCAAAATAAATACTTATCATGATATCTAAACCAGTTTTTCATGGTTTTTTATACGCCCGGTAGAGGAAGACTTCAACTATGCTGAATTCTATCAGCCTTCTACTTCTAGCAACACTGAATATAGATGAATATCCAAGAAGGGTCAGGGGAAAAGATTACGGTTCAGGGGCCGTTAGCATTTTAACAATGGAATCACAATATTTTGAACATTTTGTAATAAAAATGTTATTTATCAACAAGTATTGCGCCGTCTACCGGAGAGTGGGCGAGCGTGGTAAATTATACACTGCTTCTCCAACGACACTTGTCTAATTTAATCACCAAGCCACGAAATGGGGACGCCACCGTCTAAATCTGCTTATGAGGGCCTCCGGTAGTTTTCTCTAAATGTTCAAGTCCTCCTTGAAATACTGCTGTCTAAAGCTTACACCTATGTCAAAGAAAAATAGTTTTATTTCAGAATATGTTTACTAATTTTTCTCGGCCATGCAGTATCGCGTTTATTTGTTTGTTTGTTGAATTTCAAGGCTACCTGTGCTAGCCTTCCCTCATTTAGAGGAGGGACTAGGGAAAGGCAGCTAGTCAACACCACCCACCGCCAATTGTTAGGCTACTCTTTAACAACGAATAGTTGGGGTAACCGTCACATTTAATGCCCCCATGGATGAAAAGGTGAGCATGTTCGGTGGTGGAATTCGAACCCGCGATCCATAAATTAAGAGTCGGTGCCATCAAGTTATGCCAGTCATGCAGCATCTTTAAATACTACGGTGATTTCATGACTAAGCTAGCCTAAACATAGATTCCAAATGAAATGTAATTTAGACAACGACAATTGGTTGACATAGCAACGGCACACACAGATTCGAACCTTTCGAATGCACACCGTCAGTGGTGGCCTTAGGATTCTTGGGGCCCCTTAGAGACATAGTTTTGATAACCAATAAGCAAGTCGAACATTTCGAATGCACACCGTCAGTGGTGGCCTTAGGGTTCTTGGGGCCCCTTAGAGACATAGTTTTGATGACCTATAAGCAAGTCGAACATCTCGATTTTAATTTCATTTTGCCCTATCCATAAAACTGCAATTAAGGTATCTTAATATAATATCCACAATTCAGTGTAATTGGTATTTTATTAAGACTGGAATGGAGAATATTACATAATATATTGCACTAACACAACACATAACAAATCTGTTTTATTGAGAGACATATTATGAATATATATATATAATGGCAGATTTCCTCACCAAAATAAGCTGGAGTCAACAGTCAATCCATTGCTCCTACACCTATTTCGATAATAAATATTCGTATAACATTGAGCTATATTCTAGATTTAATGAATCTTCTATATTGAATTATCTACAACAGAAATCCCTCACAAGACATAAGCTGATAGCCAGTGTATTGATGAATGAATTATATGTTGATAGAAAGACTGATAATTCTGTAGTAACCTAGTGTAATGTGACTTTTTGTGCCTTCTTTGAACTCACTATAATCTTAATCTCACCCACTTTTATGTTCAACTGAAATCATTGCTAAGCCAATAAGGCATTCTTGTGACATAGAAGAGCGCAGACAATGTTTCATTATTTTTAACTTTGAAAATAACCTCTTACCAGATGCAACAGTTACACGCGCAGTGAGATGTACTACACATATATTTAGGTAAATATCTTGAATGTCAGGCTTATAAATATATTGAATGGCTGCCAATGCTGTACATTTTTCTTGAAGTTGATTATATAATGTAAAAGAACTCTTAATCTCAGTCAGAAACTCTGGAGGGTCTTTGCCTCCCTCAAAGCGTAAAGATACATATTTGAATCCCTTTGGGTCTATGTCTCCCTCAAGGTGTAAAGATACATTTTTGCATCCCTTTGGGTCTATGTCTCCCTCAAGGTGTAAAGATACATTTTTGCATCCCTTTGGGTCTATGTCTCTCTCGAGGTGTAAAGATACATCTTTGCATCCCTTTGAGTCTATGTCTCTCTTGAGGTTTAAAGATACATATTTGCATCCCTTTGGGTCTATGTCTCTCTTGAGGTTTAAAGATACATCTTTGCATCCCTTTGGGTCTATGTCTCTCTCGAGGTTTAAAGATACATCTTTGTATCCCTTTGAGTCTATGTCTCTCTTGAGGTTTAAAGATACATATTTGAATCCCTTTGGGTCTATGTCTCCCTCAAGGTGTAAAGATACATATTTGCAAATTGTAACAGTGTAACTACATATCATCTGACTGCCACTAGGAACAAACTCTGTTATAAAGGATCAAATTGTAACAGTGTAACTACATATCATCTAACTGCCACTAGGAACAAACTCTGTTATAAAGGATCAAATTGTAACAGTGTAACTACATATCATCTAACTGCCAATCGTTATTTCCATTGTGGCCAAGTAAGTGTTTCATGTTATTTTCTACATAAGTTCACTTATTATTTCTTTGCTTTGGTCTTTCTATTAATTGATAAAATACTATTATTTGTACTTAAAAATAAATTTACTATTTCCACTAAATGTTTTGTGCATTGACATATCTCTATTTTAAAAACTGAATACACCTACATATGAGATGCAGTTAAGCCTAAAAAATATTACTTTTTTTTCCTAATGAGATCATTCCTTGTTTCTAATAATTTAGCGAGTGTTATGTGTATATAGTACAACATTAATAAAGATTTGAGATTGATTACGAGTATTTTTTCTTAATTTCATCCTCATGCATACTTTTCAAAATTTCTCGTCCCAAAATAAAGGAAAGATGTGAATTTCACTCCTTAAAGTTAAAGTAAGGTGTGAAATTACACCTTTTGTTGGTGTAAGTATTGGATAAAGTGATTTCATACCTTAAGGTGTGATACCACACACACACACATATATATATATCTAAAAGGGAACTTGAAAATACTAAAAAAGATCTACACTTACCCGTACGTGCCCGGGATCAGAAGACATTGTTCCGTCGGTAACTATGTTGTTTTCCATCGCGGTCTCCAAGAAAGAAGCTAATTTTTCTTCGTCGTGTTCTTGCTCGGATCCTAAGAAAGTTCTAGAACTTTAATCTAAGTTACTAATGTCGGAAGAACAACGAAAAATTCTCTAACTAGGCCTCTGGTTTTTCTTTTAACCTAAACTTAACAATATCATACATTCATACAGTTATAACCCTGGAGTAGGAACAACAGTTCAACGACATTAGCTTAACGTCTTTTCTCAACGACTTGTGGGTAATATTCCCTGAAATCCAAGAAGTATTGAAGATACGAAATAAATCACGTATTTGTTCAAATAAACCACTAAATGTAATTTGTCCTGTTTATTTTTATTATGAACAAAACAACGAAAGATACACTACTCACCCACGGTTTCAATCAGAACATAGAAAGGGCTAAGACCAATTGGATTTCGAAGACTGACGTTCTGTTCAATGGCTTCCATTGTGGCGCCATCCATCATTTCGAACGCTGATAGAACTTCAGAAAGCTTTTCTCGACAAGATCGGAAAGTTTTTAAGACTGCTTCGAATGTAGGGCAAGCTGCGTGCAACAAGAACGACATTTAAAAACAAAAACACAACTCACAAATCCTAGGTTAGGAAATAAAAAAATTATTCCAATTCAGTGCAAGCCACATGTAACAGATATGTTAATTTAAGATCTTAAAATCAGAAATTTAGTAATAACAAATAAATGTGCAAAACTCACACAGCTATAAATTGCAATATTTGTTTGTTTGAAGAGATGTCAAGAATCGGCCAGTTGCAGCAAGAAAAAAAAAATTTCTGAGATATTTGCATCCTTGACAATGAAAGTGACTCATAATTTCTTCATATGTGTTATAGGATCTAGAGATGAAATCATACCCACTGACACCAAAATATTAGTAAAGGGACGCGAATGACAGACCCGCAGATTCACAATGCGGCACGCTAGGCCTAACTTCTGATGAAGCTCCTTATTAACTAAGAATTAAAAATTAACAATAATGATATTTCTTCACCTAATTTAAACTATCTTTGTAATATGGTGTTTGTAAAGTTAATATAAAAACAATCTTGCAATGATTAGAATTGGTTTATATATACTCTTGGTTATTTAGTTCTCACATCCTTACTTACAACGCTAGAAACTGGGTTTCGATACCCGTGGTGGGCAGAGCACAGATAGCCCATTGTGTGCTTAACTTAAAACAAACAAACCTCACATTCTTATTTTCGAAGCGCCATCTGGGCATTATGTAAATTAATAAGTGGGTGAAGCCTTATTGTTCAAATGGCGTGGAGTTAAGAATATCGATCCGTTAACATGGAAACCCTTTAGAACCCACAAATACATATATGACATCTTTTACTACTGTACTGCCACAATCTATTTGATAAATTGCTAAGTGGTGGTCCGCGGGCTGGATCTGGCCCTCGAACGTATTTTCCGGCCCCTGTATTTTTGTTTCTTTTTAACTATATTTTATTTTGGCAAAATCAAAACAGAAAAAAAAAACGAAACCAAGTAAACCAGTCCCGTGACGGTTCTGAGATATTTCTTCAAATGTTAACTCAGCTATTTTTCAAAACCAGGAAATTAACTGAAGGTCTATATACAGTATGAATTAAAAGTTTAAATTAAGCAATTATTTTGATAATCTGTCTGTCCGCATTATAGCAGGCGAAGGTAGGCTGATTGTCACTAAATCTTATATGTGCCATTAACTCTCCCCCTCCCCCAGGAAGTGACATAGGGTGTCCGCTCTCGGATCTGATCCCCCCGCCCCTTTAGTCCTATGTATTCCCCATGCGTTGAACGAGTACATCAGTTCGTAGCTACATAAGGTATTTCGAGTATGAATTTTTTTAAAAGGCACACCATAGTTTTAGAAACAGATCAAACAAAGATGTTCATATAACTGGTTCTACAGCTACTTTTGAAATTAGTAAAGCGAATAAAGAAATTAAATTTCCCCTCAGCATTCCCAAATTTATCAATAACTTTAGCTACTTTTTCTTCAGTATAAAACGGAGTCCAACAAAAACGATTAAATTATTATATTCCTCACTAAAGCTCAAGTCAAGTAGCATACCAATAAACGCCACTGTTATAGCCGAAGGAGTCGGATGACAGAGTAGTGCGACTTTGGTCACCACGCCAAGAGTTCCTTCGGAGCCAATGAAAAATTGCTTCAAGTCGTAACCTGTGTTGTCCTTCCTAACATGTGACATACAGTCAACAATGTTCCCGTTGGGTAGAACCTATAAAACCAACAACAGAAAAGAAACGATATGAAACACAAGCCTACTGAACCGACGATCTGTAATCAAGGCTAAGAAAGTCGAGTTTATGGAGCTTTCAAGGCAACATCGCGATAAGAACAGAATCCGACGTCTTTAACTTCAAACCCTTCCGCTACTCTGTAAATTGGTTCTCTAACTTACCAGAATATAAGCTGTTTCCAGGCCTACCAGTGGACGACTGCAAAAATAAAGAATCCGTTTTTCTTCTAAACATTTTCAGCAAATTGTAGTTTCACAAACCAAAATATAGTTAAATATGTCTAAATAATTTATATTTGCCTAATATTCTATTCACACCTGTAAAATTTCCATTACTTTGTGTGTGATGACAAATTTTACCACGTAACTTCTGAGCTTCAAAATCGTTATATTTCCAAGATCTACATTTGATATTTATTGAATATCATAATTACAGAACGAAACATTTTCGGCAATATTTATAGATGTTTCGTCTTATTTTGAGCAAAAGTAAAGACTGTGAACGGTAATAAACGTTTTTACAGGTTTTAAAAGTTCCACTAAGTAGCCTGTTAGCTCCCTGTGAGCTTCGTTTTTACCCAATATTCCTAACCCTACATTAAGTAGTTCATTGTTTCATCAAATTTTATCTGATATTTCACATTCTGAAGTCTTACTTACAGCCTCCACACCTATAACGTTGCCATGAAGAGAGCCATACCGCACCAGACGAAGGCCACCTGCATTTGTTGACACAATTCCTCCAATTTGGCAGCTGCCTTTCGCTCCTAAATCAACCGGTAGCATATAATTCCGTTCTCCTACATACTTTTCTAGAACTTCTAAAACGCATCCTGCCTGGCATCCCAGTACACCTTTATAAGAAAAAAATAATCTGTCGAGTTAACACTTCAGAATAATTATTATAGCACTTCCTATCACCAAGACTTTAACAAATGGCAACAATGTGAAATACCATGAATTTGTTGTTGTTTGTTCATGACAAATATATTAAAGTTATCTGCCGTTCTCACACAGAGAGAAGGTAATCAACCGACAGCATCCACCGCCAACTCTTGGGCTACTCTGTTATCAACATATAGTTGAACTGGCCTTCGCATTATAAAATCCTCACGACTGAAATTGTGAGCTTGTTCAGGTCTGGGTTTTGATCCCGCAGCTCGCAATCTGCGAGCGGAGTGCCCTAACCACCAGGCCCTCTAAGAAAATAGAACGACATTTCTTTCAAAACATTGTTTATAAATTCTATCAAAATGCACCAGTAAAACGTTAATTTTTCTCGACCAACAATAAAAATTTATATAATTTTGTTTTGAATTTAAAATGATAAAAGTCGATTAGGAAAAGACAGTTCAACAACAATCACAACAACTATAATGAAATATAAATATTTTTCTTTATTTTGATTAACTCTAAAGTTTGAATGATAAACAACAACAAACCAGACATTTGATCCAAGTCAAAAACTTCGTTCATTAAAGAGGTCGACATGATAATCTCGTCAAATACGGGAACGCTGCCCCCTACTAGCCCAGTGTTGCCACCTTGCGGACATACGGCGAGACTCTGCTCGTTGCAGTAAGAAAGAAGTTTGGAAACTTCTTCTGTCGTTCTTGGCCTTAGTAGGACTGAGCTACAGCCTACAGAGCCAAAAATATATATATAAATGCATCTTGCAGTCATAAAATTGCACATGTAAGAGTAACTAAATTATTACTTTAAATAATTAGTTAACTGAAACAAGGTAAATGTTATAAAAAAATAACACAATCAACTACTTTGTTGTGTAATTATACATTATTATAAGTTCCGACATTAATAAGTGGTGAAATGTGTACAAAAGAAAGGTTGAAATGAAATATTAAACCTTTTAGTCACCACGAGATCAATTGACGAACTCAAATAATACAGAATTAGAAATGACCAAGATCTGTATAACATTTACTAACACTATTTATAACTCCACAATATTTTAACATGCAATAAAAGAATATGTATTAAAAGTGTTACAGTATCTTTTCTCTTTTACATATACTTGCTTCATTAACAAAATCATGTAATTTATCTCTAAATGTTTTTTTGTCATCGCGAAATTTTCAATTAGAACGTACGAGTAAGAAAGCTATGTGGCGCCATCTAGTAAATAAAAGAGCAAAACTAATAAGTAAAATAACTAGCTATACAAAAACAAATAAATAGCAAAAGACAAAGACGTATTAGGTATCCCAAATAGCTGTTACCTTTGCACGTTTTATACCAGTCAATGTTATATCCTTCAAGTTCATCTTTGTCCGTAATAACCCCACCTTTTCCAAGGATGGTCTCGAAATACTCAATGTCCTTCTGTGTAACTTCGGCGTAAGGTCCACGTTTCAACTCCGGTAGGCGTTTGTAAGTTAGTTCTATCGTAGTCGATAAAAATTTGGAAGTGTGGATCCGCCTGTAGCCCCAGCTTCCAGAATAACGACTTTCATTGGCACAAGTTAGACAAGCTTCTGGCATCCCCTTGGTAGAGAGCTTAGTCGTTAACTGTCTTCCTCTTAATAAAAGCTGACTCAGAATTCCTCTTTTAAACAATAATGCCATTTCTTGTTTTGTTTTTTCCTGTGTGTAATGAAAGGTACCAACCGAATGACCCAATGTAAAACGTATAATGTTACTAATCTAAAATTTGTTAAGTGATAATGATGAACATACATAGATATAACTCGGGCTCAGTGATATAATATATATATATAACAGTAATTTAACTTCGTAAAAACACAATATTCTTAAACATTATATCATTTCAAAGTCTGAAATAATGGGCTTCAGGCAGTCTACCCTGAATCATAACTATAACAAAAGTTGAAGCAATGTATTTATCAAAATAGGGATTCAAGCATGTGATGCGAAAAAATCAAATAGCAAAAATTTAATTAGACTTATACACGTGGTTTCACAGCCGCATGACAGGAACACCTCGTGTTGACAGGGTGTCTAGGATTACACGCTTGGAGTTTACAGGATATATTGATGCATAATTTCTACATACAAAGCTTTAAATATTTGTATACGAGTTACACAGTGCTCAAAAAGTTGCATTTTTATATTTAAATAGTCCTTAATCATTAAAACCCTATTGAAGAAATATATGATAAATGTATGACAATTGTTTGTATTAAAGCAAAACTATACAATGGCCTATCTGGGCTGCGTTCATCGGAGGGGTCGAGCCCTGAATTTAAGATTTACCAGCCTTGAAGCTTACAACTGAGTCATTGGGAAAACAAGTATAAACAGTAAACAAAAACTTAAAAAAATATATTTGCAGCCATAGCGAGACAAAGGCTAAACGTATAAATAACATGTTAAAATCACTAAAAAACACTGAGTGGTGAACATTTCGGTCAAGAATTCATCAAGTGTATGGTAGATTGGTTCTTGTAAAATACACCATCAGCCGTGTGGTTTGTGTTCACATGAAAAACAAAGATGATTCTATTAACGACAAGTTCAACTACTTTATAGGACAAATGACGGAGGATTATTCTTCAAGAAACTGTTTGACTATATTTCTGTTATCCGTGATTCATGGACCATGAATATGATTATAAAGAGACTTAGGACGTTGTTGATAATAACAGCGCACTATGTGGTTATACTCTTACAATTTGATCCTTTTTGGCAGAATTTGTTCCCAGTGGTAGTTATATAAGTAGTTACACTGTTACAATTTGATCTTTTATGGCAAATTTTATTCCCAGTGGAAGTTATATGATATGTGGTTACACTGTTACAATTTGATCCTTTATAACAGACTTTGTTCCTGGATGTTATTTTCTACATAACATTGTACAATGAACCATGTGTGGCCAAGCGAGTGTTTCTGTGGAAATAAAGACACATGGTTCATTGTACAATGTTATGTAGAAAATAACATGAAACACTCACTTGGCCACTATGGAAATAAAGACACATAGTTCATTGTACAATGTTATGTAGAAAATAACATGAAACACTCGCTTGGCCACTATGGAAATAAAGACACATGGTTCATTGTACAATGTTATGTAAGAAAATAACAT